GTACATCATGGTGGAATCAAATGCAGAGATCAGGAAAGGTATCTGGATTGATTATGTATTCATAAAAGACAAAATGTTTTAATTGTAAAGCTGACAAGGTCATTTCAATTTTATATTCTTTCAGATGAACCTGGATGTTTTATCATATGCTATCCGGGGAACAGAAAATTTTATGCACTATTTGCTACAAGAAGAAGTAATGAAGTTGCGTCGAGGAGAAGTTATAAGAGAATTTTCTATGTTTATAACAAAGTACATTCTTACATCCATAGCAAATGTGAAACTTTTACTTGAGGAATATTCAGGCATAGGTATTAGCAACAGTCTCACACGTTACAAATCATTTGGACCATATGGAAGAAATAAAGCAAAGTGTATTATTCCTAATTTATTCACAACTGAAAAAGAGATAAGTACAATTCAAATTTGGTTGAAACAATGTTCCAATAAAACTGTGTAATAGAATGCATATCTTGGATAAATGAATTAAATTTGTAAATTGCATTTTACTTTAATCCCTTTTGACATGGTTGTATTTATATTGATAAACTAGATAATAAATCTTCCAGTTGTTATTGTCTGCTTTAATCAATCTTCTCTTGATATCTTACTTTGATTGAAATTTTGTGTAAATCACATAAGGTACCAATTTTGATGCAACAGATGCGCACCAGATGCGCATTTCGACAAATTATGTCTCCTCAGTGATGCTCATGCCGAAATGTTGGAAATCTGAATTAATTTAAATAATTAAAAAAAGAAAAGAAAAAAGGAAGAGCTGAAAAAGGGGGTGCAAAAGATTGGAGCAAAATACGTCGAAGGATCAGAGCTATACATGAGGGAGATAATCCTGAAATTTGAAATAATTTCTAAATTTTACCACAGCAATTAAATATATATCCGTATTTTCAAGCAAGTACCGTCTGAAATTTTTAAAACATTTTGCTTGCTTTTGAATTATGTACAGTTAAACTTCTCTAATCTGGTTACCTCTTGTTCCTAAGAAACTATCCGGATTAGCAACATTTTTGATAATGAAATAACTGAAAGGGACTTTAAGTTTACATCGTATTAGACAAGGCGTCGGAATGCACAACATCCGGATTAGCCAGGATTCACTGTAATAAATAAAACTAAAAAAGTAGAACCTTCACTGAGAACATACCACTTGAAGGTTTTCTTGTCTCAATAGGTATCAATGAATGTATAGAAATATGAATATGGTTTTTGTGTTTTTGTGAAACAAAATTTTATCATAGTTATTATAGTTATCCTCGCAAGTCCACTTTTTTTTACTACTAACGAATCGTTTATCTTTTTATAAACATCATGCTTAATTTCATTTATAAGTCCCTTTTTATATAGAATTGACAGAAACTTTGAAACGGTGCTTTTACGTTGTCAAAGACCAAAGGATTCCGAGTGACAGATCTATACTTAGTGCCATTGGAATAATCCGTAGTCATATTAAATATAAAACAAAAAGTTGACTTGATACTAGTTTGTTGAATCCCCTTACCATCATCTTATTTGTCAGTAGCCGGCCTTGGTTTAAATATTGATTGTACTCAGAGCATGATCTTTAGTTTCAAATAAGTTGGGAAACATAAATAACATGTGCAGCTGATACTGGAATATTACCACATACATTGAAAAATTGATGATTGATGATTGAGGATGGAAAAGCTGAAGTATTCTCGTTTGCCGTACAATTCTGATGTTAGTTATCCGGTATCATTTATAATCATTAAAACATAAAATTATATGAAACTGATTTAACAGACAGATGTTTATGAGTATGATTGTCAATTTCCTTTTTTTAAGCATTGATTTTATCTTTGTTTTATTCTTTTTCCATTGTCTTACCCTTTTTCATAAATAGTTTTGCTTATCATGTCCATATCTTTCAGATTTAAGAACTTACAAGGGGATCATGTTTATTCTGTCAACATTTTTGAATTTTGATAAATATTATTATGTTATGCCAAGCAACATGATAATTTTTGGATTCCAAGAGACTTTTCTGTCTAGATCTGGATAGAGCATGGAGAATATTAATCATCCTTCCCGGATAGACGTAGGCGAAGTCCGAAGGTGTACCTGGCTATAGGTATATATATACTATGATCAAAGTCAAACTAACAACTGAGAAATCATGGAAAAGGGTAAAGCAAAAAAAAAATCCATCATGTTAAAAAATGCAATTCAGATTCTTATAGCAACTGTATATTCAAATTTTAAAGGGCGATATTGCAGATCCATTTATATTCTTCAAATGGCATACATTAGTTTCGTTTTGATTTCATTCATCATATTGCTTTGCCTTAGTTCGAACAAGTCATTTATTTTTAGCACTATTCCTCCTCGGTTTGCTGACTATGGGATTTCGATTGGTGATTAGCAGAGACAGTTGCACACCATGTGATCGAGACAGTATGGTTAAACTTATCATAAGCTCCAAATCAGCACGTGACCACAAAGTTTCTTTGTCGAACGTGAAAGAATATATGAAAAACCTGATTCAGACATTGAAGAAATTGATTAATAACACTGTAAACAAATACACAGCAAAATGTGCCACGTACGTATCACGAACGTTAAACGTATGTGATACGTATGTGACTTCACGTACGTATCACATGAAAAAAGCACCACGTACGTTAAACGTACGTTTTCACACGTATGAATATCATGCGTTACACGTACGTTAAACATACGTATTGACTACCATAAGTTACACACACGTTGCACACGTACGTTATTCATACGGTTCACGTATGAATAACATATGTGTGCAATGTGTGTGTAACGCATGTTTTGAGAAACATGCGTTTAACGCGTTTGTTAAATGAACTGCTCATATGATAAATGTATAAGTACCATACATTGAACTTTTTTTTTTCACATACTGTAAACAAAGGTGAAACAAAAATGATTCAATTCATGCATTGGACATAATTTTCTTTAAAGGCTTATTTTCTTTTCATCTGTTGAATGATCCACATTTTGAAGGTACATATCTGGATATCCTTCGCCTCAAATTTCCTGACCCTTCTTGCTCTTAAGGCAATCACAACAAAAGACATATTCAAATCTAAGCCAAATTTAATGTTGAATTTTTTTTAACATTTTTTTTTCAACATTGAGTTGAATAACTACAGTTTATTTTAGTATTAATAACCTTAGTCGTTTAAACTAAACTTTTCAGAATCCTCAAGTATCTACCTTATAATTCTCTACTTGACAAATTTAAAATTGAAGTATTGCGAGTGAACTCAGAAAATAAAACTTGTTCATCATAGGTATGAACTTTGCTTTAAACTCAGGAGGAGCATTATATAGATTTTCAATGAATCGATACATAGTAACTCTATATGATCAATGAAGCCCTGCCCTAACACCTGAATCACTTAAATTACCCTGGGGCCATGAATTTCATTATTTTAGTAGAAGACTCAATGCTCATTAAAATCATGCTAACAGTTTGCTTGATGTCCAGGTTTCAAGAAATTGCATTAATTTTGCATTAATTTTGATGGTTTTAGCTCCATCCCTTAGGCCCCAGGGGGAGCAGGAACCATGAAATTCACCATTTTTGTTTCCATTCACCCACAGATACTTTATTAATTTATGCGATAGAAACTTGATCCCCAATTGTGGCCCCTCCCTACCCCCGGGGTTCATGATTTGAACAAAATTGAATCTACACTACCTGATGATGCTTTCATATAAACATGATTAATCATGGCTTTTCTGTTCTTGAGAAGAAGATTTCCTATATATTCTTATGTAAAACTTTGATCCCCCATTATGGTCCAACCCTATCCCCAGGGGATCATGATTTGAACAAACTTGAATCTACACAACCTGAGGATGCTTCCATTTCAAAATGACTATTCATGGCTTTGCTATTCTTGAGAAGAAGAATTTTAAAGTTTTTTCCTAAGTATTCCTATGTAAAATATTGATTCTCCATTGTGGCCCCTCCCTATCCCTGGAGGTCGTGATTTGAACAAACTTGAATCTACACTACCTGATGATGCTTCCTTATCAATATGACTATATAAACAAGGCTTTGCTGTCCTTGAGAAGAAGATTTTTAAAGATTTTTTCTTATATATTCCTATGTAAAACTTTGATCCCCCATTGTGGCCCCGACCTACCCCCGGGGCTCATGATTTAAACAAATTTGAATTTACACTTTGACATACAAGGTTTCCTTTAAGTTTCAACTTTTTTTTGGCCCAGTGGTTCTTGAGAAGAAGATTTTTAAAACATCCCACTTAATTTTCACTATTTCTTATTTATCTCCCTTTTATTTTTAAAACATCACACTAAATTTTCACTATTTCTTAATTATCTCCCTTTTATTGGCCCTTTATTTGAACAAATTTGAATCCCCTTTACCCAAGGATGGTTTGTGGCAAGTTTGGTTGAAATAGGCCAGTGGTTCTGGAGAAGAAGTCGAAAATGTGAAAGTTTACAGTCAGACAAACAGCTAGACAGACAGACAGACTACAGACAAAATGTGATCAGCAAAAGCTCACTTGAGCTTTCAGCTCACCTAATTAGTTATAACATTTTTTTGTGATTACATGTAAGTCAGCTCAGGTGCAAAATATTGCTTATCACTGATATGAATACAACAGTAAAATTTTAGACATAACCATATGTCTGACAATTAAATTCTATGTAATAATAGAACTTACCCTCAGCATAAATCTTTCATAGCTTGACATGGACCTATATGTTTCTGTGTCTGTTTGAAGTGCATACGTTTTGTCCTTGGGGTAAAAAAGAAAATATATGTTAAAAAAAATTCCTTTCAGACTTGTAAAGCAAAACAAACAATATGAAAAATTACTTATTTTACTGATAGCATTTTCTCCTCTTGTGATTGAAATGTAATGCACATCATTACATGATATGTGTATCAAATTGCAAGTCTAAAAGCAATGGGATCAGAAAATTTGATTTCTTTTTTAAGAGTATTACCATAATGCTGGTTAAACTTTCAGAATCTGTTTTTGAAGTCCAGACTTGGCATTTAGGTGTTTACATAGGAGATGAGCTTCAGCCACCATCCTGGAGTGTACATTTAAAACCACATAAAAAATCACATAAGGACTGTATGAAAAAGACATCTGAAAAATAAGTTTTACACCCTTATTGCCCTAAAAGATAATTTATATTTCCTCTACATGTTTTGTAATGAAATACATTGGGTGGGTGCAACTTTTTCCATCAAGGGTTTTATTGCATCTTATTGGTAGGCTAAAAAAAATCTTACAATAAATATTTTTTATAACAGTATGTATTATACCTCACCTGAATTTTGATATAATGTGCCAGTGTTGATTCACACCTGGGCTGGGGTGCTGACCAAGACAGTTGACTGCGTCAATATTTTCTTACTTATTTGGTAAACTAAGTTTACATTATGTTATACACTAAAATAAAAGAAACACACCCGTTAGTTTACATGCAACACAGTGTGAAATATAAAGTAAATAAATAACTGTTGATGTTATGTATATTCCTCACCGTTATTCCTAGCCTAACTCCAGACACTGTCTTGCAGACGTCAGACTTCTTACCAGTGACGTCACCCGTAACGTAAATAATAATCGGAGGTGAAAATTCCGGAACGTACATTTTACATATTTAGTGTTATACGGACGCTACCAACTGTATTTTTATGTAATATCTATTTAGGTGAATTCCATTTGAGTTCTGTTGTGAAATTATCATGATTTCCTTTTTTTTCAAATTCAGCTTTTGCTCCTGAATTCGGAATGATTATATCTACCGATGATCGAGTTCAATTTTATGTGCCTCTACCGATATCCGATATACACATTACGAGATTGGTGTACTTGTACAGCTGTTGACTGTTGTATGAAGACTATGTTTTACTGCTCTAAGAGTAAATTATACACCAATGCGAACTGATTACTCCATGTCAGACATGCAAGTGGACGTAAGGTAAACAATGTGAAATAAATTGGAACATCAAAGACGCAAAACACGCACAACAAGTCAACAATGCACACACCTGTGAGCTTTCAGAGGTGATTGGGTTTTAATTATCATTATCATAGATCATGATATGATATTATTTTTTTTTGAAAAAAAAAAAAAGTTAAATCTTTAAAATATATTAAAGTATAATGATTAAAATCCACGCAACTTATGATATAGGGTCCCGTTTTAAGAGGGATTTTATAGTTGGACCAAGTTGGTCACAATACTCTGTTTCATGAATTACAGGTTATTGATTGTTAAACAATATCTTGATAAATTCTCCAAATTCACTCTGAACTATTAAGTAAAAAAAAGTATTTGGTCTGAGATTTCCTTTTGAACAAAAAGTTCCTGTATTTGAAAATGTCACCAATTTAAGAATATTATATAGTTCCAGCAACAATAAAACTTTTAGGGATTTTTTTCACTTATTGACAAAAATTAAATAATAATTTTACTAATTAATTAAACGAAATTGAAATAAAAAAAAAATAAAAAGGATTGAATTTAATTATAGTTGACCTACATTTATTGTACATGTATGTAAAAGTACCATTAATATAGAAAATATACAGCCTTCTCAAACACTGTCAGCCAGCTTTTCACACACAATGTAAAACAATTTTTATTAACCTACATGTAACATAGCTGATAACACTCATACTTGTCATTAACGTACATGTAATGTGTGGTTTTTAATACATGTAAACCATGCATATATTAACGTATGTGTAACGTGTGGTTGATAATAAACGTAAACCCTGTGTGTGAAATATGTGTAATGTGTGGTTTATAATACACATGTAAACCATGCATTTATTAACGTATGTGTAACATATGGTTGACAATACATATGTAAACCACGTGTTCATTAACGTATGTGAAACGTGTGGTTGACAATACACATGAAAACCATGCGTTTATAAACGTACGTGTAACGTGTGGTAGCACATACCATATGTAACACGTACGTGAAAGGTACGTAACACGTACGTGTATTCCAACCGCACGTTTCACGTACGTTATGTGAAACGTATATTGTCACACGCACGTTATCCATACGTTATACCACGTACGTGTAACGTTCGGTTGGAATACACGTATGTGTTACGTACATTTCACGTACGTGTAACATATGGTATGTGCTACCATACGTTACACGTACGTGGCACAATTAGCTGTGTATTGTATATGCACAGTCTAGATGAAGATTTCATATTAACAACTATACTTATAATGTTTCAGCATTTGATTTCTTTATTTTTTGTTAAAGGTAAATTTTCAAAATGAATCTCTGTTGATGTATGTAGGAAGAAAAGCTGAATCTCGTAAATGTAAAAAGCAGTTCTCGCTGTAGTGTACTTGTAATAAACCCTTTCCGCGGTTCCCGAAGTAAAGTCACTAGAAAGGTTAATAAAAATTGAATTTCTATCAATTAATCTAAGAACCATATAAATTATTTTTCAAAATCGTCTATAATGTAAATCATATACCGTACCAAATTGGTGTACAATTTTTATAATTGAAAAAAAAAATAAATACATAAAACGCATTCGATTTCCAGTTTTTTTTTTTTTTAATATTTCTGTCTTCATTATACAAAAGCAGAATACTATTTTGCATCATTACTTTAAGATTCGCTTTATTCATCACACTTATGCCCGCTTCACCTTCGGATATGATGTGTTAAAGAGCGTATCAAAGACCATTGGTACTGACGAACTTGTCGATTTGTCTTTGCGATCCGCCATGTGTCAATAGGAATCTTCAGTGTAAGAAAGTACACAGACACAAGACACTGAAAACATTTATAGACACCAGAGTCTGTATGAAAAAGTAAAGATTTAGAAATTCCAAAAGAGGATGTTCTGTCGAAATAAAAGATTTATCAAAAGCCAAAGCTACAGTTACCATTTTGCAGAACACCTTAAACTTTTGGAGAATCTGTATCTCTGAAAGGAATGGTACGCTTCTCCTGCACAGACAGTGTCAAACAAAGAAATGTCAGGTGGGAAAATGTGAAGTAAAGAGAATAAAAGATAAGAAGAGAAAAAAGGATTTTAAAAGAGCATTTGATAGCTCAATAATATTCCTTGAATTTTGTACGTGATATTACTATGTATTTATATAAAATCTGATATCATACTTACAAAGTGTGAATGAAAGAAACTTGACCAATATAACATTCAGTACCTAAGTACGTGTCATGCATATTTCTTTTGGACGACTTTTTTAAACACATGATTGATTTTTTTCCCTTTTCTTTAACAAAATAAGTACGTTCTTTTCTTGAATGTAGTTTGTGTATGGATAATTGTTTTTAATTTGTAACTAATGGAGAGAAAAGTAATTCTTAAGCATAGTATGTGTGTAATCGAATGAGTTTTGCATGAATACTTTAAATATCTAAATATTGTCTCGAATTTTTAAAACTCAAAGTCTTTCAAAATAAACATTGATTAGAATTTCTCGATTGTATTAAAAGCTACTTCAATTTTTCTTTGTTAAGAAGAGATACGATAAAATTAAATGGGTACATGTACATTTAGATTTGTAACATTACTGTGATTGCAATGCTAAGATCTACTAATAGACCGTTCAACAGCATATGTCAATACGTTTTGAAAACTAGTGTCATTACAATTTTATCTGTGCACAAAATAAAATTGATAATGATACCACAGACTTCATGTTTCTTCAGAATAAATCTTTGCATCAACGTATAGTTTAAGGTCAATATCTAAATTAATAATTGATTTTATATAGCTTCCATCTTGATTTTAAATTCATTTTTTAATTAAGAAAACATTTTATTATCTTATAAACATCAAAGATTGATGTAGAGAGGTACCAGTATGGACAGTTCCGTATGAACATATAATGTTTTTCAAAATATAAAACTGAAGCATATATTTCAGACAACTGCGTGTTATTTCATTCATAAAATGTCATGTTGATGTACAATCTATTTTTACAGAGAGTATTATCTACAACAAATTCCCACGTATATCCTTTCAAATGTCATTGAAAAAAGTGGGAGCCTATTCAAGTTCTTCAATTTCTCTGAAACCAAAAAAAAAAAAGTGATTTAAACTGTATTGTGTATTAAAATTTAAATTTCCAAACCGGCAATTTACATACTTTTATTAAGGAATGCGTTCTCTGCATTCCCTCGTATTGAAACACGTTACCTTCTAATTATACTAAATAAAATCATTGTTCAAATCTTCCTAATTTTACGTCAAAAGCATAGAATTTCTCATCTTATGCTTTATTCGACGATGCCTGATCATTTTTTTTTTAAATATGATACAGGTGTTTTCAAATCTTGTTAACGAGTTGTCAGATTCACTTCAGTTGCACGGAGGTGCCAGGTAGCCATTACTGTAAAACTTTAAGCTCGCTAAACATAAACATTTATCTTTAACTTTTGCTCTTATTTATCTTCTTATACTAAAGGTGTGACTCCACATACATTTGTAGACAGTTTGTACTTGTATATTGAAGCCTGCAGCTGAATGTTTATTAATCTACTTATGCTAGTATTTCAAAGGAAAAAAAAACTAGCCCAGTCAGCCAGTCTGAATTTATAAATTAAATCAGATGGCAGATTTTTAGAAATATAAGAGGGAAAAACTTGAATCACACCCAGACAAGACTATATTACTCAAGACTGTGCAAAGATATAGAAGACTTTAGAGAAATGATACGCTTAACGCTTTGTGGACCAAGAGTAGTCGGAACAGGAACTAATTTATAGATAAACTATTACAAATGAGTAAACTATCTATCAAAATTTAATCTGTAGTTTAATTCACTAAGATTTTTTTTTTTTCAATGAACCTCATCTTACCTAATAGATAAGAACATTTTAGAGAAGAAAACATCTTAAATATGCATGGCACGCATGGGAACAAACTTTTAGGGGAGCTCAATTACTTTTATGAATGGTTTAGCAAAACAGTGCTTCTTAGAGCCGGTACCCAATGTTAACGATATTATTAGTCACTTTTTAATTTGAATTTCTTATAATGTTATGAGATTTTATATTTCGATGCTATTCGTATTGAAGTTTACATGTTTGGAGGCTGAAAAATATCGATGTCATTTCTAGTTAAGTTAAAGAAAATGAGCTTCGTTCTTCTTGCTCATTTTATGATAGTTATATGACGTTTTGCCTGCATGATATCTTTGTAACTTTTGTACTGTCTTTTCTTGTTTATAGCAGCTACAGCGTTATTGCACATATATATTACATACATTCTAAAACCAGTATTTATATCTAGGTTGTCAAAAAAAAATGCCTGTTGGTAATAACTTTGTGTTAAATCATGTGTCCTTTTTAAATAATCTCGTTCGCCGTATCGCGTCAAACCTAAGACGTAAAATTATGCAGTGACTGTTCCTTCGCCAAGCGCCAGGCTCTTTCGAATGATAACTTAAATCCGAAGTCCCGTAAGGTATGCGTTAGCACGATAAAGAACCCTCACTGCTCAATGGTCCTGAGTGCCGAGTATAGGTCTAAATTTGAAGCTTTTCACCGATATATGGTGACTTTTCTATATGAATGAAAACAACATGCATACAATC